GTCGTCTACGAGTCAGGCATCAATAATAGGAGTGTAGACCGTTGTATCAAAAGGTCGAACTTGCTAAGCTACGTTCCTAGTTTCACCTAGTCAAACAACTCATCCACCATCACGTCAAACAACGCAGTAAACCCGGTTCCCTTGGGACTACCAGCCCTCGCAGGATCTCCCCTTCTCCAGTACGACCGAGCAGACCGTTGCTTCGTCACCACCACAAGAAGGACTCCCATCTATCCTCGAGGCGGCTCCTGGGTTCGCGCAGAAGGTTCCAACCCGCAGATCGTCGCCCATCAACAGCTTGTCAGCTATTACCAGAGACACCCTCCCGCTCACCCAGAAGACGTATTCGCCATCCTACGAATCAACGTCGAACCAGCACAAACAACAGAGAACCTACAGTCACCTGTTAACGAACAACCGTTTGAGCTCCCGGACGTTCAGTACGTTCCCATCGAGGCTCCAGAACTACCACCAGCCCCACCTGCACCAACCAACGCACCGGTTGAAGTCCCCATGGCAACATTCACCCAAGCAGACATCGATCAGCGCATCGCTGTCGCCCTCGCAGCATACCAATCCCAACAGTCAACTGCCAACCGACCCCTTCGCCTTGACATCCCCGCTCCCGAACCTTTCAGCGGAAAGGCGGAGGACCTCAGACGCTTCATCCAATGCATCCTCTCCTACTTCGTCGCCACCAACAACACCAGACTTAGCGATGAAGCAAAGATCGCCTTCACTGTAGCGTTGATGAGAAAGGACCTAGGGAAGACATGGGCAGACGCATACTACGAGAAGTCGGCAGGGGGAGTCCAGGTCTATCCTGATTGGGCAGCCTTCGCCACCGCCCTTGAGGAAGCGTTTCCTGAACACGGAACGCGAATCAAGGCGCACCAAATCCTGATGAAGCTGCCCGAACGACAAAAGAACAAGAAGACGGCGCTCTCCCTTGGAAACTACGTCACCCGCTTCGAGCAGCTAGCGTCAAAAGCCCAGCTCAAGGACGCCGAAGTCAATGGCGTCAACCGCACCGAGAACGACTATCACACTCTCCACGCCAACTTTGTCAAGGGACTTCCGAAGGAGCTCTACATCTCTCTCGCAACTAGGGTCGCTAGAGACCGACCCAACACCATGAAAGCCTGGTATGATGAAGTCCGAAACGCCGACGCCGCCGAACAAGGGGCCCTCACCGTCACAGACACCAGGGACTATGGCGAGCCAATGGATATCGACGCCGCTGCAGTCATGGCAACCTTTGCCTCCACATCGGGAGGAAGGAAGTGGGAACTAGGAGCCGTTCTCAATGAGGCCGACCGGAAGCTCCACAGGGACGGGAACCTGTGCTTCTACTGCCACATCAAGGGCCACAGCGCCAAGGATTGCCGCAAGAAAGCGGCCGCACGACAAGAGGGTGGGAGGCCGAACCAGGGAGGATCTGGGAAGGACGACTTCCGCGCCAGAATCAAGACACTCTCCGCTGACGAAAAACGGGAGCTGTACGAAGAACTCACAATGGAGGATTTTTGAAGGGGCAGGGTGAGCCGACGCAACCACTGCCCGTATCCGTTTCACTGTCCCGTGTAATTTTAGTAGTCCGAAATGAACGCGCTCTGCACATTCCGATTACTGTGGGACGAAAAGACGTCGAGGCGCGCGCCTTCATCGATAGCGGCGCAACAGGAATCTTCATCAGCCCGAGATTCGTCCGAGAGCATCGACTTCGGACAGAACCTCTCCCCCGACCCATCCCCGTCTTCAACGTGGATGGAACTCCAAACAAAGAAGCACTCATTACGCGAAGAGCTCTCTTATCTTATAAGATAAGTGGAGAACCCCGATTTGTCAAAGCCTACGTCGCCAGCATCGGCAAGGAAGACATCATCTTTGGCCATACCTGGCTCAAGCTTGAAAACCCCAAGATAGACTGGAAAACCGGATGAGTTGAGCTAAACCACCGGTGGACGAAAGACGAGACCAGGGCCTGGAAGATGGACCTGTACCAAAGGCGAGTGGCTCGGCTAGAACTGAAGAAGGCCGTAACTACCCCACTCCCAGAACCAACGGAGGACGAATTCGTCGTCATCTCCACCTCGGAGCACGCAACCCTTCCCGAACGAAAGACTAGCGGCGCAGCAGGATATGACATCTCTGCCGCGCATCAACTCATCATCCCTGCCCGACGACGAGGCCTGGTTGGCACCGATCTTATCATGGCTATCCCCGAAGGACACTACGGAAGAATCGCACCTCGGTCTGGTCTAGCGCTAAAAGAAATCGATGTCGCTGCAGGAGTAATCGACTCCGATTACCGAGGCAAGGTCTCAGTCCTGTTGGTCAATAACTCTGACCTCCCATTCACCGTCAAAGCCGGCGACCGAGTTGCCCAGCTCATTCTTGAAAGGATAAGCACTCCACCAGTAACACCAACCAACTGCCTCGACGAAACTGAACGCGGGGAGGATGGGTTTGGGTCAACGGGTATTGCGTCCATCGAGGAACAAGTGGAGGACATCGATGATGAAGAGTTCATCATTTCCTACTTATCTGGAGCGCCGATGATCACCAAGTACGAGAAACAGGAACCCCTGGCAGTAAGGGACGTTCCGCTCAAGGAGCGACTCCCTGAACTTTCATCTGGCTACAAACGACTTCACAACGGCATGATCTGGAAGATCCACCACGACATTAGGCGCATCACCACTTCCACCGAACTTGCAGCATCGAACGCCCAAGGCAAGACAGAAAAAACGCTACCACAGATGGTACCATCCTACCTACACGATCTCCTCCCCGTCTTCGACAAAGGCACTGCTGCGCGACTTCCAGACCACACCGAATATGACCACGAAATCAACCTCAAGGAGGGCTTCGCGGACATGAAGCAACAGGTCTATCCGCTCAACCCGCAGCAACGAAAGGAACTCGACAAGTTCCTCGAAGAAAACCTGAGTAAAGGGTACATCCGCCCTTCGAAATCCCCGTTGGCGAGTCCATTCTTCTTTGTTGGTAAAAAGGACGGTTCACTACGTCCCTGTCAAGACTACCGGCTACTCAACGAGAACACGGTCAAGGATCGATACCCGCTCCCGCTTATATCGGACCTCCTCGACAAATTGAAGCATGCCAAGGTGTTCACGAAGATGGACCTCCGCGCCGGATACAACAATGTCCGAATCAAGAAAGGGGACGAATGGAAGGCAGCGTTCATTGTACCCGGAACTGATGGCAAACCACCGCAGTTGTATGAACCAACGGTGATGTTCTTTGGGCTGTGTAATTCCCCCTGCTACGTTTCAGCGGATGATGAACACAATATCGC